GGAGCCCGATGTGGGACTCGATCCCGGGACTCCAGGATCATGACCTGAGCCGAAGGCAGTCGCTTAACCAACTGAGCCACCCAGGCGCCCCCCCAGAAGCACTTCTATGCCCCCCTTTAGAAGACATAAAATAGAAACAAATTAGAGGAGGTATCATTTGAAGGCAAATTGCCTGGAACTGTGCTATCCAATATGGTAGCCACTAGCCACATGCAGTTATTTACATTTAATATCCAGTTCCTTAGTCACACCAGCTACGTTTTCAGTGTTCAAAGGCCACACAGGTAGCTAGTGGCAACTGTATTGGACAGCATAGACAGGGGACATTCCTATCGCTACAGAAAATGCCACTGGACCGCATTGGCAAGAGGCCAATTTATACAAAGCAGCATAATCTATTATAATGAAAACTCTTAAAGATTCAGATTTCTATAGCTAGAGGAAAAAACAGCTTTGGGGAAAGTATTGAATTTGAGCACCCGGTATCTTCTATACAGTCGTATATTTTCTATGCGAGGAGTGTGGCATAGTGGGGCAGGCCTATAATCCGAAGGTTTTGAGTTGAGGTCTTGATACTGGAGAAAATTTAAGTTATCACCCTGAGCTCAATTCCTTGTATTCTGCAATACTCCTGTACGCTGAATACATGCAACTTTATTAATGAGTACAGACCCAGTTTAGGCTTGGAATGATAAATTGGGAGTGTATGGTTCTGATCAAGCATTAACCAACCTGCAAAGGGCTATACCACTGACCTCATTCTAAGACTCAGTTGTTTCTAAGATCATCATTTCTGCTCCCTAACCTTTCTCTCAGCACATTAGATCTTAACCGCACATTACTGTGAAGTATGTAGAGGTTAAAAACTAGGCAAAAAGCAGGTTTAATACTCACTTAAATAGATGTGCTATTACCACAGACTTGAACCAAATAATTATTATTTTCACCATGATATGATCAGAGAATTTTTTTGGAAAAGAGCTGCAGTTACAGAGCAAGGTCCAACAGAAGACCAGTTGCCACCCCAGGGAAACTCCCCAAATGCTGGTCCCCAAACTCTTCTCTTATCAATATGCCAGCAGCTGACTGTGCTCTGGGCTGCTGAGCCACTCTAACCACTTATGAGCCTGACCCAAACTTTCCAGTGTCCTCGTTTATAATCCACGGCATATCTCTGCAGTGACAAGAAAATGAACATCAAGGAGGCTGTCGGGCCAAAAGGTTGTGAGAACAGAGGATGAGCTGGTTTTGCAGATTTCAAGTAAACTCTGGTAAAGTCCCATGAAATATCCCTGCCTCATAATCAGCTGCTTTCTCAAGGTACCCCAATCAGCTCCTGTAGGGGGCCCTCTCCTTTGGATGGTACGGAATAAGAATGAGCCCTCCTGTTCTTCTTTTTCTAGGCTCTTTGTAGATTCTATCCTTGAAACATTCTTCTTTCAACAGTATTGTTATAATAATTGCCAAGATTATAGCTTCATGTTCAACCGTATCCACAAAGTCAGATTATAGCCTTCCCCATTAATGCCATAGACCAGGTTATAATTTTAGCAGCCACCATATAATTGATTATGTTCTCCCCAGGCATCTAGTTACAGATTGTTGTTTAGCATCTGTTACTTTTAAGGATGGCTGATTACATCACTGCTCATCATTTCATTTCTTTCCAATCTTCCTGTCATCTAGAGACTGAGCATAGAAGAAACCTTAAGAGTATGGAGACTAGTGTTTTTCAAACTTTTTTTTTTTATAGTAACAGAGCCCTTTTTTTCTATCAAGAAAAAAAAATCATTCAATATATATATGAAATAAAGGACCTGTTTTGGTTAAAGTAGGGGTTTCCTTGGCATACATCTATCCCTCTATGGCCACCTCAGTATATTTTAAAACAGTCTGAAAAATCACCATCTCAGACCAACGCCTTATCTTTTTTTTTTTTTTTAAGATTTTATTTATTTATTTGACAGAGAGAGAGACAGCGAGAGAGGGAACACAAGCGGGGGGAGTGGGAGAGGGAGAAGCAGGCTTCCCGCGGAGCAGGGAGCCCGATATGGGGCTCAATCCCAGGACCCTGGGATCATGACCTGAGCCGAAGGCAGACGCTTAACGACTGAGCCACCCAGGTGCCCCAAGACCAACCCCTCTTCTTAAAATTGAGGAAAGAGATCCAGAAAACTGAGCTGACTTGGAGATATGATGACAGCGGGAGCTGGCAGAGCTGGTCCATCATACTCCACCGAACATGGGGTGAAAAATAGGTAAGAAGCCCCTGTCCAAATCACATGGGTTTCCTTTATAGCAATGAAGTTACCAGTATTAACATGTTGAGGTTATTTGCGTACCAGATAAAAGGCATCTGCTACCAGTATAAGCCCATTCACATTTGCTTATCCAGTGATGGAGAAAAGGAATCTTTCTGCAGAAAATATCTAGACTTTTTCAAATATGAGACATCACAAGAGACTATCAGAAGTATAAACTGGGTTTGGGAAGGAAAACAATGGCAGTTGGATCTGGTTTACTACACCTAAGGATCTTGTTCCTAATTCCAATAGCAAGTCGGTAACTGGGCCCCTAATTTCAAATCTAGTCCACTCTTATTTTCTATACAAGCAGGCTTTATGCCCCCACTCACTATATACCCAAATCAATAATCCAATGCAAAAGTATGGGTGACCCTAGATTTTCACTATCTGACCAAATAACCTCAGGATGCTTTCCAGAATCTTAATCCCTGAATTGACCATCCTCCAGAGCAAGATCTTTGTGGGAAGACTGTCAATCACATTCAGAGCCAATGAAAATATGGAATAACAAGAAAAAAATCCAGCATAACTACCAAGGCAAACCTATTTTATTCACTTGAGCTTTAGTGAGACTATCGGGAAATAATGAAAGTGCAGTGAACCTGGAAAGACTCGAGTAAACCAGCTGAGCTCTCTGTTTCCTCATCAGAAAAATGACAGTGTTGGACTTGGTGATTTATAGGTTTTCACTTCAAATTCCACGATGAGGGGTTTTTCTAATTTGAAGTAAAGTTGCTCCTCTTCATTTGGGGTACCCAATCCTAATTCTCTCCTCCCCCAACTTCTTACAGGAGGAAACGAGGAGAAAAGAAAGGAAGAAAGAAACTGCAGCTTGATCCGGACTCTATTCTGCACTCGTCAAACAAGCACAGCACCCCTGGGTGAAGACCCGGGTCCTGAGGCCAGGCTCAGTGGAAAAGTAGAGCATCGCGATACAGTCCTACCTCCCGCCTTCGGAGTCAAACGGCTCCGCATCCAAACAGTTTAGAATCCTGCCTGTTAATGCTACAAGCCACTTTAGTCATCTGCCCTTCTACGTTCACAACCGTCCGAGGGCACAAATTCTTCCATCTATCCCCATCCTTCCCTGCTACAGAGTTAAATCCAATCCTTCTTTCTGATCTTGGGAAGACGGCAGCTCCCCGTCCCTGCCCCTCAAAGACGTCCTAGGGGCTCCCTCTCAAAGATCAGACATTCCTCCCATCCCCCACCCTCCTAAATTTAGGACAGGGAAGCTTTAGGGCCACTGTCTCTCTTCTCGGATCGTTCAGTCTGCATTCCAAGTAGGGAAAGACGAGGGAGGGGAAAAAAAGATGGGGTTGGGGTGGGGAAAACGTGGACCCCGGCGAGTCACTCCTCCAGCACCTCAGGGACCAGGTACTTGCGCATCCCTCTCCCTCCTCCCCCGGGCCGCAAAGCACCCAGATGGAGACCCGCAGGGCCCACGCTTGCTCGGACCCCCGCTTCGCGCGCCCCTTCGGCTCCAGCCCCCGGCGAGGGGCTGGGAAAGAAGGGGTCCCTGTGGTCTCACCTGGGGCGGAGGCGCTCGCTCATGGCAGCCGGTGGAGGGGAGCGACGCGGCGCCGCTCCGCGAGAAGAGGGAACAGAAGGTGTTGCGTTCCGGCGGCCACCACGCCCACCCCCTCGGGCCTTGGCTTTAGCCGCGGCGCGGGTGGACGCTGCCGGCGGTGAGTACCCCTCGGTGGGACCTGTACCACCGCTACTTCCGGCGTCTGCTCCGCGCCCCCCCATGTCGCAGCCGCCGTGGTACCGCCCTCTCGCGGCTGCGCACTGGCGCGACCCCGGCCGCGCCGACCGGTAACCCCGCCCACGGGAAGAGGCGGGCTCGGAGTGGGGAGGAGCGACTGAGAGCTTCTGGGAGAGAGGACCTCACGAGAGGCGGCCTGAGCTTTCGCCTGTTCGTAGCCGAGCGGGGACGGCATAAAAGTCAAGCCAGGTTTAAATTAACTTAAATTATATCATCATAATACGATACAAGTATTTGAGTTAGGCCTCTGTGCGGTAACAGTTTTTTTAAAAACACAGCTGAGAAGCATCAGGCAGTGGCGCAGACGGCCTGCAGCGGGTGCCGCCGGGGAGTTGGGAAGAGGCTCGAGGGCTGCGCTGGGGGGCTTGTCGCGGGGGCTTCCGGAACTTCCGCGCCTAGTGAGGTGAGGATGCTGCTCTGGGTTAGTCGCGGCTGGTGGTGCTGTGTCCTCTGGCCCACGCCCTGGGTCGGCGATGGGGGAGTCTTCCCCGGATGAGAGAGAGTCAGTTGGATGGCGGGCCAGCCGGGGGGGGGGGTTGCTTCCCGGGGTGGCAGGACGAGCCTCCTTCGGCGTCTGTGCGGTTCCGGCGCCTCCGGCTGGGGCTGCAGGGGAGGAGAGTTCGGAGCCTCAAGCTGCCCGGCGGTCCCCGCCCACTCAGCGGGAAGCAGCTGCTCCGCTTCCGGAAAAAGCGAGGGAGCCGGGAGGAGGGCGGGCCAGGTATCGCGGCTGTGGGGGGGTAGGGGTTGGGGAGTCCGCGGCGGGGTGGGGGGAGGGGAGGCGTTTGGCAGGAGTCCCACGGGCTCTGCGCCCGAAAGGCGGGCGCGGTCTTAACTGTTTGCTTTCCGGAGCGCCGAGGGGGACCTGTCCTGCCGATAACCCAGTTAGCTTGTACTTGGTTCAGTGCTGCGCCACATCCATTCACTGGGTGTGCTGTCGAGTTACTTTTCTGATTGTGTCTCGCGCAGGCTGACAGTTAAAATCGAGTTTGTTCTGCCAGACTCGGAAACTGCGATCGTGAGGCGTGGAGATCCAAGAGAAACAACCACAAAATTAGCATTCTTCTGGAGAAGCTCCAGTAAGAAAGTAGTCAGTCACCCACGGTAAGACGTTACCACGTGAGGATACAGGATCTTTCCAGTAGGATTAAGTGTGGTGGAGTAATGTAGAGGCAGACATGTCTAAGAGGTCCCTAGCCCCTTCTAAAGTTATTAGTACAAGGCCCGTGGACTGCCTTCAGTTGTGGGTATTTTTGTAAGTCAGCGGCCCATAACTTTGATTACATTGTCAAGGGGGTACCTCCAAAGTAAGAATAATTAAAGTTCTTTGGCCAGAAACAGCTTCGTTTTGCCTGAGCTCATATAGGATCCTAAATGTAGAGGCAGATATGTCTAAGAGGTCTCTAGCCCCTTCTAAAGTTATTAGTACAAGGCCCGTGGACTGGCTTCAGTTGTATTTTTGTAAGTCAGCGGCCCATAACTTTGATTACATTGTCAAGGGGGTACCTCCAAAGTAAGAATAATTAAAGTTCTTTGGCCAGAAACAGCTTCGTTTTGCCTGAGCTCATATAGGATCCTAAATGGATTGGCCAGGATTCTATGTATTTATTTTGTAAATGGCTTTAGTCTCATTTTTTGACCTATTCAGTAGACAGAAGACATTCACAGTTAGTCATCTGTGATGATAGCATTTGCATATTTATGTCTAGAAAAGGAATTCATTCAACTATCCTATGTCAGGCTCAGTGCTCAAAGAGGTACAAATGATACATGGTATTATTTTTTCATGTTTTTACATGGTGTGAATATCACAAAGAATTCAAACAATGAATTTGCTCATAGTCCATTGTACTTACTCCTTAAGTCAAAAATTGGGGACTCTGTCCCCTACACATATGTATCATTTGTACATCATAAACACTTTTACATATACATGTATGTGTGTATACACATATTACTAATACGGTGTTAGAGCTTCATTTCTCATGCTGAAATGATGGAAGGTCTTGCACCGAAGTGGATCTTCCATATACAACTTTGAAAACCATGACTCTAAGCAACAGCCTTCAGATCCTGGCCTGAGTTTTTACTCTTTACCATTCTTTCCTTAAATGATGTGTTTAAGGGGTTTTAACAATTTCTTTATTCTCCTGTAATAACCAGTTGACTTGCTGTAACCTTAAACAGCAAACATTTTAATCTGACTGGTATACTGAAGTTTTATTTATTTGAAGAGAGAGAGCACGAGCAGGGGGAGGGAGGGGGAGGGCCAGAGGGAGAAGCAGACTCCCCACTGAGCAGGGAGCCCCACTCAGGGCTCAATCCCAGGACCCTGGGATCATGACCTGAGCTGAAGGCAGATGCTTAACGACTAAGCCCCCAGGCGCCCCCTTACTGGTATTTTGTACAACTTTTTCTTCCAGTAATTTAACCATTAACTTGTTAGATTTAAGTCTTTTGGCTTTCCTCATCTACTAGTTAGGGATGTTGAAAACCCCTTTGGTTGTTTTTTTGCTAACAGTTGATTCTTGGAAGACTTTAAGAAATGTAAACAGAAGTGAAGCCAGGGATATTTATTTTCTACCTCTGTAAGAAAAAGAATAAGTCAAAACACATTTCTTAAAACTTCCTTCAACCTAGGTTCTTCCAAATGAAAGGTACACATGTAAATGAAATGTTAGTAATTACTCTACCAACTATGTGCCCCTCATAATCTCCCATTTACCTTTTTCAGGAATAGGAGAGTGATACTCACCCAGGATGGAAGTGTGTCCTTACTGTAAAAAGCCATTTAAACGATTAAAATCCCACTTACCATACTGTAAGATGATAGGACCAACTGTACCGGCTGATCAGAAAGCTCGTCAGTCCAAGCCAGCTACACGCCCACACGCTAAAAAAATGAAAGGGCCCATCACAGACTTAAATAACACTAAAGAGAGAAAGTTGGAGACGGAGAGTAAGAAGAGAAATACCAACTTGGTAAAAGACAAACCAGAACGGACAACAAAGTCTTTTCCACTATTGGCTTTTGGTTTGGAAAGAGCAAGTAATACAAAGGCAGATAAAGACATCCAGAATCAAGTTCAGTGCTCCATCAAAAAGTTGAAAAATACCGAACCAAAGATTACTTTCCAGGGAGAAACGAAGGCTCAGTTTTATGCGTCAGAGTACACCACTCCTAAAAAAGAACTTGCCAAATATTTGCCTCCATCAGGGGAAAGTAGAAGTAACCTTCCAGAAACTGAAACATCTTTCCCTTTTGGCCCAGTAGAACCTTTTTTATCAAATCAAGATAGAAAATATTCTTCAGCTTTACCCAGTGATATTCGGACCACTTCTACTGATTTAAGATTGGACAAAATTGATCACCCAAGACAGAAGCTTCTAGTAAATTTATCAGATAAGCCTATTGGTGATTATCACAGTTCTCCCATGAATCTCAATTATGGGGTTGAAAGAGTACAAACATCATTGTCAAGCAATGAGAGACAGTCCAAGGCCAGGGACCACCTCTCAGAAGTCTCTTCTGATGTTAGAGACTCTGAGACTCAAGAAAAGAACACGGAGTCACAATTTTTAAATTTTAAAGTTAGCCCAGTAGGTGATATCCCAGTCAGGGAGAACCAAGGAAAAGGACTGAACCTTGGAACAGAGGCACACGGGAGCAGAGGAAATGCAGAGAAAAGCGTATCTGTAAAAGCAATCCAGGAATGGGCTTCTGTGAACGGTGATGCAAAGAACATCAGTAGTGATGATTCAGCCACAGAGAAGAAAGGTCCAGATGAAGGTCCCAGTTTAAATTTGTTCACTCCAAGAGAGACAACCTGCAGTGAGCTGCTTTCTGTGTCACAGTCATATAATCAAAGCCTTGCCTCTCTGGCTGTCAGATTTTTTCAAGAAGAGAAAGCAGAAGCCTGCAGTCCTAACCGAGTCCCTGTTGTGAAGGTGTTAACAGAGAGTGGTGAAGGAGCCTCTCTGCAGTACAAATTTGGCTGTGGGCCCCAAGTGTCACACCCTGGGTGCCAGCAAACCTTACATTCAGTCCTGCCTCACGCCTCTTACAGCCCCTTCAGTCCGATTGGCATTGCTGATAGGAAGACCCTTTCAAGCTCCCTGGGGCTGGAGTGGTTTCCAGAGCTCTATCCTGGTTATCTTGGACTAGGAGTATTGCCAGGGAAGCCCCAATATTGGAATGCAATGGCCCAAAAGCCTCAGCTCACCAGTCCCCAGGGGGAGAGACTCTCAAAAGGTAAACATGCTCATTTTCATGGGCCATCCAGCCCATCCATATAGCTCTGTGACTTGAATTAATAAGGCTCAGACTACTCCTATTTTTGCTCATTCAGCTTATTTTTACCTAGGCACTCCAGTATACCAGACTTAAAATTATTCTGAAAACATTAATTCTTGCTCCAGAATTAGTACCAGTGGTGTTGATCATTCTCTCTTCCCCTCCAAGCAGAGTTGACGGTCGGACTAGGCCAGGTCAGCCGGTGACATTGATCACTTGCGTTTCCGCAGCAGGAGGAGGCATGGCCAGTAGATGTTGGGCAGGTGTTCAAGCTGTCTTAAGAGATCTAGTAAGAAATCGTGGACAGAGACAGACTGTGAGGCTGTCTCCTCAGAAGCCCTCCGGAGGCTCCTTGCCAGTGCCTGGAATGGTTTAAGTGGCCCCACAAGAGCTGGGAAGTTCCTGGCATTTCAGGAAATCCTCCCTTTTTCCTGCACGACCTGACCTTCAGTTATTGGACTACCTCTAGTTATAGTACATAAAGTTTCTTCATTTTCTTCACCAGGAAGCTTTAGATTTTTCTCTTTTTTTCAGGTTTCTAGAAGCACAGTTAGTTTAATGAAGCATTCAGATTTCATGTGTGTATATTATTTACTAGTGCTTTTAGCTTCGACAGGAGACCTGTAGCAACTCTGAATAGCTTTGCCCCTGAAAAAGTTGTAATATCTCTTCTTAAAAGGGACATATTTTCCCTCTCTGGTATATTTTATAAATTATTACATATTCACTAAATCCCAGGTCTTCTGGTCTTAAAAGCATTTTTTTTTTTTTTTGGTACGGTAATTATTTCTTTCTAAAGATTTCAAAACAGAAGTGTAGTAAGTGAAGAGTGTTGCTAGCTGAAGCTACATCTTCGACTGCTTTAGTGGTTACCGGTTTTCCTACAAACAGACCTAACCTCTAGGCCCTCTTTACAGAGTTGTAGTCTGTCTCAAGTTCAGAGTTGGGTCCCCAAGCCCCTTCTCCATGTTGACAGAATTACTGTTAACATCTGTGTTGCTTTGTTTTCAGAGTGCTTCCATCCGTTTTCTTATTTCAGCCTCACCACGCTGAGAAGTGGGCAGCGATTTCTCTGTTTGGCAGGTGATGAAACAGGCAGAGAGGATAAGTGATTGGTTCAAGGTCATGTTGTCAGTAGGTGGTAGAGCAGCAGGTAGAACGCAGTCTCTTCAGACCACATTTCGCGCTTTCCACTAAACCGTATTGCAGAAAGTGCGCCTTAACTAGAAACATAGGTGGTTGTCAGATCTCCACTTCTCTGTGGTTTGCAGTGGCCCGTGGCAAATCTCTCTGGCAAGTGGGACTCCTGTATTTCCTGTATTGTCTTTAATAGTGCTGAGGAATGTCTCTGATATA